TTTACATTTTTTTATACATAGTATAGGGTAAGTTATGTTATGCTGAAAAAATCAATTTTGAAAAGATATGTTTTCGGGTCCCTGATATGGAAAAGTATCTTATTTTCAAAACATCTGTCCATCTGTAAACAACACTAGTGCCTAAACTTTTAAAATGATTTTATTGAAATAAAAATTCTTACATTGATTTGGATTATGTTGTAGCACTTTGCATTTGATAGGTTCAGTGATGATAATTTAAAAAATATGTATTTTCTGATGTAGTCATGATCACACCATGCCATTGGTGTGTTGTTGATAAAGGCTAGTTTATAAATATACTTTGAATTTTCTCAATTTTGTCTATATCCTTGTTCCATATATATGGGCCAAATAACTTTAAGAAAAGTTCTCACAAAAGAAATATTAACACTTTAAAATTGTTATATATTAGTAAAATGGAAAGCGCAACATAGAATATAGTAAAAGAGTTTTAAGAACATTGCTCATAGTCATTGGTACATGAAAATTTTTTGTTGTGACTTCACCCTGAGCCACGAGAGCCCTTGAAGATTGAAGTTAAGTTTTCTGTACAAAATCACTCCCAAGATCCTTGATACTGTCAACTGATTTAAGGGATTTATTATTCAGAAAGTATTTGAACAATAAAAAAAGGCAACATTAAGTTCCATGGCATTGGTGAGACACTGATTCTGCCACCTTAGTAGATCCAGTTGCAGACGAAGGGCATTTCGTACTCGTGTAGCAAAATTTTGCTTCACTTAATTACATTGGATAGGTTCTGTATAAATTAATTAGCAAGAGTCGAAAGGGGGAAACTTGTGAGACAAGATTTGACATTAAAAGGGGACAAGAGAAAGCTGATACTGACATACTGTGATCTGCCTGTCAGATTTGAGTTGATCCAGGAAAAAAGCAGGTCACCTACCTCCAATCTGGACAACTTGTCAATAAGGGTTATGTGATTAACTTTGCCAAAGGCCTAGAGAAATCAATAAAAACATCAACTTGATACCCATCCTCAAAAGTAGTAGTAATATAATTTTTTTAAATAGTTCAACTGGTTAATGTTCATTGGTTATGTCTAAAGCCATGTTGATTTTCAGATAGTAGATTTTTAAAATAAATATCAATTTAGAAATGGCCAATTACTCTATCAATTTTGGGATAGCATTCAATTTTATATAACTGTTACCAATAATACAGAAAGTATGTGCTACTAGTATTACTTCTTCTCTTTTGCACACAATAAAGCCAAAAAATTGAAATAAGCTACTTCAAACTAACAGATGCAACATTTGAATAAACTTGAATATTTTAATAACATCACTAACTTGAATTCTTTTGTTCGAATTACACAATCTTCAAAAATTTTATAATAATTACACTTATAATACAATGTTTATTAAATAGTTCCATTCATATGAAGAAAATAATAAGTTCTGATAATTACATTACAAATATACGTTTTTTCTTTCAAAAAATTCTTATTAGTGGTCTTTGTGGACCAAAAGATAGGTGATCAATAGCGAGAGAAAATAAATAAATAAATTAAAAATTCATCATTGCTTAACATTATTGACAAGAATTTTCGACTTATAGGTCCAGAACACCCAACACAACATTCACATTTTGAAACAATGAAAGTCTTGAAGGAATTTCTAATCCTATGCCCATATCAAGCTCTGAAAATATAGAAGCTAATTAAAAATGAAAATTATTCATGGCAATTCACTGATTACATAATAACTCACAAATAAGAGATTTATTTTTATACCAGTAACAATTGTTTGAAATCTTTCACTTGCAGCAGTCATTTCTGTTCCTTAATCATCTTTCAAGTTCTGGTTTCTTGAGCTGTGTCAGTACAAATGTGCTGATGTGATCCGCAGAACTCTATTAATTACTTTTAAGACAGCTAAGAATCCTGATGTTCAATGAACACAACAACCAAAGTTTTGGGAGTACCACAGTTTACATTTCTTACACAAAATGAGAAAGGTGTATATTGGCAGAAATAAATTTTTGTTCATGCTTTATTACAGTACAGAAATGGTAATCAATAGACAAATGTTCAAAAAAACCTATACACCTGGAATGAAAATGTACGTTTTCGGAGGAAGTCATTGGGAGCAAGTGACCTTGTCCAAAAATCTTTGTATTTTGACTTGGATACATAATTGAAATTGTCCTGAAATAAAATATTTAAGAAAGCTTACTCCCCACTGAAAATTTGGCTTTTTTTATTACAATGATATTTTATGCCAAACATTTTGTGAATTTAACTAAATAAAACCATATTTTACATGGTATTTTCTTTTCTAAAAGTTTGAATGAATATAATTGTTATGTTACAACATTTGATTAATTATGAAAAATCTGTTTTATATGATTATCTAATCATAATTTTACAGTAGCTGAAGCCAGGACCTCAATATTGAAGCAAATAGTGGAGTGGGTGTGGGGAGTAACATTTTCCTCATCCTCTCTCTTATTTCTTAGGGATTTGCTTTAACTTTCTCTGTCATTGAAGTCATCTCCTCAATTTTGTTGTACCTTTTCCCACTTCCAATTGTGGCTTTTAACCTTTTACCTAAAAATGTACTAATTTTGGAATTTACAGCACCCAGCTCGCAACTCTAGAAGCAGTTAAAATCCTGATCTTCTGATTTTGGGTAATGATTACCATTTTTTTGTGTCAAAAACAAGACAGAAGTATCATTGGCTGTCTGAGTGCATACTTGATAAAATCTCAAAGATTCAAATGTGGCAAGAAGCCTGAACCTCAGTGCAGCTTAGAATGAATCATAAGGACAGATATAGAACACTGAAAACACTTTATACTCTTAAAGTATTCTAGTGTGTGACATGTTTTCCTCACAAATAATCAATAGTTTCACTGATAAAATGAAAAAACCCAAGCAAATCCCAGGGCCACTGTGGGTATCTCAGGGTCTGTGCTGGCATTGCAGTCTGTTTGAATTTTGCACCTTTAAGAACCATTTCAACCAAATTTTCTTGAAATGAAATTTAACATAGAATCGGAAGTATTTTTGTCATGGAAGCCAATGAACATCCTGATTGCCTTACTAACTCACCTGATTTACTGTAAAACTTACAGTTTCCCAAATACTTCATTTAAAATGTTTTATTTAAGTATTATTTTCTATTTTTGGGGGGACCCCTCCCAACCATTATTGGGAGAAAGGAGGCCAAAGGGGTTCGGTCCCTTAAGAGTTGGTACATATGGCTGAAGCGATAGGTTCACTATCTTTCTGTAACCTCATATTCAGATTTTTGTAACATCACCTTTCCCTCCCCAGGCTATTCAATCTTCAACACATAAGTTACAAATTTTTAATGAAGATAAAAGTATTGTTGATTAATAAAGATAACACAATTTCTATTTAAATAAAAGCTTTCAAATTATTATTTTTTAATTTAAATTTCAACTTCAAAAAAGGACAGGGAATTAACATTGTTTTGACACCTATATTCTGAAGGGAGGTAATATGAAATTAAAAAAAAAAAAGTGAATAATACTTCTTGAAGATATTACAAAAATAGATCAATAATTGAAACAGCTTGGGGGAAAATGACAAACCTATGCAATGTATTTTACAGATATCATAACCATCTATCAAAGTAAAACTTGAATACTTGATAAATGTCTAGAAAGAGAATGGGAAGTCACTGTTGCTTAAATCAATGTTTTATCACCTCCAAGAGTTTGAGTGCAAGAGGAAAAATTTGCAATCAAAATTTGATTCTAATCAGGAACACCCCTCTTTCATTTAAAAGGGGAAAAATGAACACCTCTCAGTTTTACTTACTTAACAATTCACTGTCGTTATTTACAATAATTTTCTCCTTTCTGTTTCATTGATTTGTTTAAAATGTTTCCTTTAGATATCTAATATTTGGAAATAGCCAAAGATTGCCACAATAATATTACAGAAAGACAGCTGGTCTCCCTGTAAACACAATATCTTAATCCTACATTTCGTATTGCTTCCCATCCTATTTTGATATGCATTTGCAAGGAAAGATAAATATCCCATGAAACAAAATATGACCCCCCCCCCAAAAAAAAGGAACTTAAGGAATTTGTTAAAACTGTTAACAAATCAGAACATATTAGCTGTAAGCAGAGATGTTACAATTTGTTTTGAAGGACAGGATCTTTTGAGACACTTTTTAATTGAATATTAGATTAATATATTCAAGAGGGAAGGCTTGCTCGTTTCTAGGCAATCAATCTGTGGTTTTCTGAACATTTTAATGGAATATCAATTACAGAGCTTGATCTTCACCCTCTCTCAAGAGTAAATTCACAAGTCAATTGTCTTTCTACAATTGCCAACAGACACCTATGAGAAAATTAAATGAAAAATTTGAAAGTGAGTGCTTTAGAATGACTAAGACTCGCATTAAAGCCATGTTAATCCTTGAAATATTTCAATAGTCATTGACTGGATACCTAGATCAGATAGACAAAATTATAAGAGTAAAAGTACTCTCATCATTATGTGAACTTACCGAAAGTCTTTTGTCTATAACATACTCTCTTTGTTGCACAATGCTCATTTTGAATTATAATAATTCTAGTACCATTCCACTTTATAATTATAAAAATCATAAATTACATTTCAATTATTATCTTGATCAGTAATACGTTATATTACAAAATAAAAGAGCATTAATAATATTAACAAAACATGAATCATGCAATGAATTTCCCTCGTACAGTAATTAAATAAACTGTGTCCATCCATCCATCGTGTGTCAGTCACATGTCTTCCAGTCCACCTATCCAAGACAATTAAGGTTTCATTCACGGCATCATAGTCTCCTACTGGAGAATTGATCCACTTTTTTGTGAGTTCATCCATAAGATTCTTTTAACTTTCTCAAAAATCTGTTTTTGATTATTTAAGTAACTAGAATGTATTTTGAATGACTTACGGTACCTACAGCAGTGATCAATAGAGAATTTGTTTCCTCTTGCTAAGGCAAATTGATTTGCACCATTTGAAACAGGTTCTTTAGGGTATTGGAAGAATGATAAATGGATAAATAAAATGATACTGGAAGAATTATAAAAAAATATTTCCTTTTATGGTTTCAAAGCACTTATGAGTACATTAAAACAAAGGCTTCCTTTCTATTATTTTCATGAATTGTGGCTTGATTCATCATATTGACAATGATCAAACCTAATTTTGTAATTAAACAAAAATTTAAGCAAGCATTTTAATTGATACTTTTTCAAGTAACTTTCTATGAATAATAATGGACATTAAGGAAAACAAAAATTTAATTTTACTACGAAATTGCAAAGCACAAATGAACTTTTTACTTTACGTTATTGATAAGTTAGTTTTATATATTAGCAAAATGTTCATTACAAATATATGGGTCTAGACAGAATTCTGAAGTAATATCTTGGCAATGACAAAGCTTTATTATTAATCTAATTGTTTCAGTAAGAGTGTATACATATTCAATCACTTTTTATAAAATTAACAGTACAAATTACTATAAATAAAACTAACTGCATTTCGTTCCAGAAATGTTTAACAAAGGAATAAATTCACCTTAAATTACTTCTTGATCAATTACATGGAAATCCTAGATTTAAAAATTTTAAAAGGTGTCCAAGGATCTGAAATATAAAATAACATGCTTAACAGGATTTCATTGTCAATAAAGAGAAAAATGTAGACAAAGAAAACAAATGTGCATTGTCAATTAATATTGTATTTTGAAAGTAACACATGATAATTATACAAAAAGTACCAGTAACAGAAAATAAAAATTTGGTGGAAATAATATTTCCAGATTGTTACAATGTTAAACATAATAAAATCTAATTCCAACTAAAAACAAGAATGCTTGTTGTATTGGATTCTGGTAATCTACTTTGTGAAAACAAATGACCTTTGACAAATGATATTCAATAATGCTAATGGTAGATTTTGTATGTACAAAGGAAGGTGAATACACAACTGGCTATTTTTTTCTTTACTCAAAGAATTTCATCAGTAATCCTTCCAAAGCAGCAACTTTTCGTCTTTCTATCTGAAGTAAATCATTGTGCATCTCACGAACCAAAGCAAGTCGTTGGTCTTCTGTTTCACGATACTCTTTCAAAAATTCTTGAAACCATATAGGAGGTAGAGAGTCTTTTACATTATTTCGGTCTTCAGGCTGACTTCCTTCATTTTGAGGTTCTGCTTCATACACATCATAAGTATTTGAAGAATGGTAATCAACTGGCAACTGATAGCTAACAGCATCAACACTAACTTTATGGTCTTTACCACTAACAGATTCAGACTTTGATGCAATATCATCAGTTGGAAATCGAGGAGAAACAACAGTGGTTTTCTTCAAATCTTCAGCTTCCAATTGAGGTTTGAATACATCTTCTAAAACTTGATAAAAATCCCATCGTCTTTTACTCTTCTCTGAACGATGTTTATTGTAATAAATAGATTTAAATGTATGTTTCAAATTACGCCATTTTTGATCACACATGACCCAAGTAACATCACATCCCCGGCGACACATGTTTTCAGCAAGTTTCACCCATGAATCTTTTTGTTTCTTGTGAGGATCTTGAAAATCAGACATTAACTTCCTGTATTCTTCAATCAAGATGTATGTCATTGAGTGAGTCCATGAATATTTAACAGTTTCTGTAACAGAGAAATTTGAATTAAATTCAGTTTGCTGATTTTAGCAGCATTTTATAAAAAGGAAAACTGTAACACTGACTTTAAAATGGAAACCAGTGAATGTATGAGTTAATAGAACCAATGTTTATATATAACTAGTAATCCTGCTTCTGAACACACATTTAAGATATGCACACCAAACACTACTAACATACTTAACACAAAAACAATGCATACGTGGAAACTCTTTTGGTCTGAAACATTTACAATACAATATAACAATATACCTAAAGACTCATTTGGCTGGCACAAAATAAATTGTGTGTTTGAGTTTTTTAGTGCCTCTGTCTTTAATTTATCTTCAATAAAATTAACAGGGAATGTCTCTTCAGAATATTCAATAGGCACTTCAATAGGCTCATATTGATCACTGGAACTATCACCACACTCAGTTCCTGGGGAATGATCAGTCTCATGTTCTTCTTCAAAATGAATTTGTACGGCGTCTGGTAAAGATGTGATGACCCTGGTCTCGAATTCTTGTTTTACTCGTGCTGCAATAAGTAAAAAATTACAAGAAACATACGTTCCAAGAGCTGAATGTCACTCTCGCATCAATCAGCCAATTGGTAATACAATATTGTTACAGGGAAACTAGCATTTACATAAAATACTCTTTCTTTAATGTTAAAGTACTTCCGAACGTATTAAAACTATTCAGTGAAGTGTCATGAAACACTACTCCAAGTACTGAAGTACATTGTAAATAGACATTTCCAAATACGCGCTCAAGAGATTTCAGAAAGGTGAACGTTCGTTCACAACGTTTAGCCGTTTAGCAACGGAATGTAACCATACCTTTCTTCGGCGTAGGGCCTCCTTCCATAGTCAACATCGAATTTAAAGCCGCCAAGAAACAGACGAAACTTTTTAGAATTGTATTGAGCAAGACCAAAGAAACTCGAGAAGGAAAAAACTGTTCATAATGAACTATCAAATGACGTTTTTTTTAGTTCCTTCTGTACTTCTCATCAACGTCGCTGATATCATTTGCTCACCCTAATTTTCTTATATCATTCAATTTAACACATACAACGTGACATAACAAGTTTTCTTCAAATGACAATTACAGCTGAGACATTTTCTTCTCCTTTATGCTTTGATTGCAAACATTACAAATCTGCATATCGTAAACACCTCAATCTGATTGGTAACAGAGTTAATGTTCATTTACAAAGTTGGTATCCATGGTGAATTTACAGTGTTGTCAATACTTTTGCTTGCAGGAAAGCAAGTTGGAGCAAGTTGTGAACTCTGAATGGTTGGAACTTTACGTCGCCATAGAAACATACAGCGAAATTCGATTTCTAATTGGCAGTATATTTTTAAAGGAGTTTAACGCACTTGAAGTTTCAACTGTTACACTGCCAACATTCAAACTTAATTAATCATTTCGATTGAAATTATTTTCAACAAAATTAATTTCATACAACAAAAGAAGAGCAATATCTAAAGCAAGTGGCATGGTTTTACGTCATGAAAATTTATCTTATTCGGAATATATTTCTAAAACGTCAAACTTTTTATAAAATGTTTCCCTCGTCTTTAATTTATACTTCACACCTTGGATGAACTGCTTATTCTTTCTGGTGATACAAAATGATAATTACCAAAAGATATCCATTGAGACCGTCATGAAAAATATCACATTTAGTACTTTTCAATTAATTTTGACTTTCGCGTATTTTAATTTAAAAAGGTTTCAAAATTTAAATTTTGCGTTCAAAAATTCATTATAAATTTGTCTTCGCCGATGGAGTGCAAAAACACTCGGTTTGTATATAATAGCCAAATATTATTTAAATTGCAAAGCTATCGAAAGGCTTCACAGTATTTCTATCACACATTGGACTAAATGGATTGAAAATATTGGCATTAAAACGGGTAGGCGTATTTCGGTTCGGCACCATAATTTATTGTGAAAATACCTGTGATGAAATTATAATTATACATGTATTGCATTAATATGTGATTTAATGATTATACAGATGTTATGGAAGATAATGTTTATACGTAGGGAACGAATTTTCATGTAAATATGTAGTATTTTTTCTGGTAGAAAGTATCGACATTCACTAATTCCGTTTAAAGTTAGAACAGACATCCCAGAGCACAAGAAACATGCAATTATTACACTTCTCCCCTAGTAGGTTACACAGATTTTAAATGTTTTTTACTTTAAATAAATAAAAAAAGTTCCCATCATATTCTGAACATATTTTGGTATAACTACTAATACATAATTTTACATAATTTACCACCTAATACTTCGCAATTCTTACACATGCAATTTCATTTTAACATAATAACTATGTTAAAATGAAATCATATGTAATTATCACTATCGAAACGAAATATTTCAAATACGAATTACCAAATAAATGTTCCTGGAGTTGTCATTCTGTGAAACAAATAAAGAAATATTGCACTCCAATGACCTCTGGATCTTAGCCGCGTGATTGAAAGCAGCTTTGCCGTGAATAGCCGAATTTACCCTCTGTTTCTTGGAAACTGAGTACTCGGAATTAGCAAAGAACGAAAATTTGCAAAGCGGATGTAATCGCAACCACATTCTTGGTCATATTTTATACAGCTCATCCAACTTGTTGGAAACATGACAAACATTTCTTACAACTATTGTAACGTATTAGCCAGCGTGCCTCGTGACATCTATTTGGGGACGCTTGGTAAGGGGTTAGAAAGAGGAAACTCCTCGCCGCAGGAAGGAGAGAAGGGTTTTTCCGGAAAGCAAGAACGCGGAAACGGGTGACACAAAGCTTTGGGATCTTCCGGTCTTCAGAAACCCTTAATTGTTAGAACAGCGGTGGGGTTGGCGTGACGTACTAGGTCACGTGGGCCTCGACTATATAACGGAGCCAGTGGGTGGGTTCTAGGGACAGTGGGAGAACCTCGTGCAGTTGCACAAAACTTGGTGCCACGACGGCGCTGCGGCGGGCAGGGCTCGCGAGGCAAGTCACGTGTTGACTAGCCTGTGGAGGACTTTGTGTCCTTGCGTGACTGCGGTCACGTGGGAGCGATGCTGTGTGCGTGCTCCGAGGTGAGGAGTGGTTGAGTGCTCCGATTCACGCCGATTCTTAATCGGGAAAGATTGCTCCTGCGATCGAGGCAAACCATCAGTTGGTACGCCAGTATGGACTTTGTGTCCCAGTGTGACATCCGGTCACGGAAGCTTGGCTTTGTGCGCGCTTCAGAAGTAGGGGTGACGAATGCCACAATCGAAACCGATCATCAATCGGGTTTGGATCGCTCCCGCGATCAGGGGATAGTAGGTCTATCAGAGCTAGGGTGTAAGAAGGAAATTAATTGTAAATATTTGTTGTGTTTTCTTTGTACATAAATATATTTGTTATATGAAAGCTCTGTGTCTGTGTTCGCTGTGAGTATCCATGACGTCACACTATGCTTTATCAGGTTTCTTACACCACGCTGAAAAATATACACGCCAGTGTCAGGGACACATAATTCAAGTCATATTCATGAAACTCGCCCGCTAGAGCCTCGTTGGAATACTCCCATACTACTTCGAATTTGATGCGATCAATCTGTGCAACTTGTTTTCAATAAATTGTTTTCAATTACAATATTGGATGAGTATATACTTAGATTTATTTAGAGTTTCACCCGACGTAAAGCAGCTGTTACAGTGTCATCCAATTGGAAGGTTTTACGTCACCATAGTGGCAACACTGTAGTGAGGTGTGAACTCCTGATTGGATGACACCGTAACAGCTGATTACGTGAGGGGCAGCTCTAAATAAATCGAATTATAGTTTCTGGCTGCGTCAAATTTTGATCACTTGTCTCTTACGTGTAGCGCTTGCTCTGTTCCATGCAGCGGCGGTGTTTCTCCGCTACCGGAACATGCGATCTGATGCCGACTTTTATTGTCAGCTTGTGGACTTAATCGCCTCTAGCTATATCCCACTGCGGGGAACCGATCCAGCCGGGACATGCCGAGTGTCTTCGGTGAGGTAGTATTGAGGTAGTTTTCTACCCATTTCGATGGCCCGGTACTGGGAGAGGTGGCTCAGGGCATCAACTGATGTCACTGCATTCCCTCTGACCGGAAGTTCGAGTTCCGCGATGGCAGGATTTTCGGCACTAGCTTGTAGCTAGGTCAAATTCGGTCGCTGTCTGGAGGAGAATTCTAGCGGACGGCTCTGATCGGTAGTTTTCCGTGGATTTTCGGATCCAACCATGCGAATGCCGGAGCAGTGCCGAGTCAGAACGGGAGAGGAGGTGAGTAGGGACGAGGGTGAAGGCGAGGGCAGAGACGGAGTGAGAACAGGAACGAAGGAGAGGTGCGGAGCCGAGGATAGAACCGGCGATGAGGGCGTGGTGGTGATGGTGCGGGGACGGGGGCAACTGCGGAGGCGAGGGACGAGCCGAGGGCGTTGACGGGGGCAGAGTCGATGCTGGAAGCAGGCGTGGTGACGGGGGCGGAATCGAGACTTCGGGTCGGCCCGGAGGTGAGGACAGGGACGGTGCAGGAGGAACCATGGGGGCCAACGCGGGAGGATGCAGGGACGGGGATGAGTGCACGGGAAGGGACGGGACCGAAGGCGGCGGTAGGGATGATGCGAGGGTGGAGACTGGGATGGAGGCTGACGCTGACTGGGTGGAGGTAAGGGCGGGGCGGAAGAGAGGCATAAGGTTATGGCGTAGAGGTGGAATCAGAGCACGAGGTGGAGTGATTTCCTCTGCAATAATAACACTCTTAACATTACTAGGTATATTAATAGCTATAATACATTTGTAAACACAAATGCTTCAAAAATGAAAATGAAATCAAAATTACGCATTTTCAGAAACGTTCATACGAGATTTTCTAAAAACCAAGTTACACATTTTCTCCAAAAACTTTTATTATAAAAATAAGTTTTGCTCTTCTCTGAAATTCTCAGTTTCATTGCAATCAGGCTATTATTAGACTATTAGACAAACATTTAGAGAAAGTTTGAAAAATATGTGTTTGATAAAATGTATTTTTTCTAATGTAAATTTTAAAATTATCTTGTAGAGTTGTCGGTGATCTTCGATTTCGCTTTAACTTTAACAGGAACAACCACAATCTGATTAAGGACGCACCATATGCAATCGAGAGTCACCATCAATCCCACAAGATATTACTGAAGTTAGATGATCCTTGCACTTGGTGGTCAAGTTAACAATACCTTCTTTAAAATACTCATATTTAAATCTATATTCATAATGTGTTACATAAAATATACTGACTAAATTTGAAAAAAGGTTTTACAAAATGAAAATTAAATTTATCAGAGAAAATAACGCAAATAGAAATTGTAAAAGTAATTTATATTTTTTTTACAGAACTCATCTGATAATGAGGACGAAAGAGCCCACGAAATGGAATGATTTGTGTAAGAATTTACGACAATAAATTATATGCGGAAGCTTCTATTAAACCAGAAGGTAAATAATTCAGTTCAAAGCCTCACTGTCACCAAAAAACGAGAGATCATAACTGACAGAATATTAAATTAAATTCCTCTCAGCAGCAAACGTCTTCTCATTCAAATTGTTTTCATATCCCCCTCTACTTATAAACATGAATGCTATAAATTGGGCACCAATTACCAATAAAATATCCTGGATTAAATTTAGACACAAAACTTATCTGAAAATAACATGTAATAACCAGCCAGCCAAAATCAAGTTAATCCAGTTGTGATCTATACTGAACCAATATATCCATTGTTCACTATGTAGTGCACTAACACTATATAAATCACTTATTTGCCGAACCCGCATGTCCCATTTGGACCAATGCCGCTAAATTAATCCTGAAGAAGGAAAATATTTTAAAAAAAAAAGACTTTAGAGAAATAAGATCCATGACCAATCCAACCAATGCGTCATTAGAAACAAACAGTTACATGGAGAGCTAAGCGTAAATTAAGTAGCACACTAAGCTATTGCTATGAAACAACTTTCATGCAGACTTATCCTTCTTAGGGGCATTAAAATGTCAAAAAATACACACGACGTTAATAAAAAATTGTAGAGAACAAATTTCATTTGAAGAAAAATTCGCTATCTACCGTAGTTATAAGAAGGCGACAAAAATTCTAACTTTCGGTATTTTCGAAATATCAGAGTTGGCAGTGAAAATTGGACGTATGCCATCTCTATAAGTTTATTTAACTT